TATCCAAAAAGCTTAAGGTAGCTGGGCCTGGTGGCGCATGCCTGTAATCCCAGTTGCTCAGGAGGCTGAGGCAGGAGGATGCCCGTTCAAAGCTAGTCTCATCAACTTATTATGAGGAGCCGCTTCAGAAAACACTCTAAGTCCAAATTCAAATCAAAGAGAGCTTTATTTACCTGGCCAGGGACTGTCACCCACCTGTAGAAACTGAAGTTCTATGGGAGAACAGTAGTTTCCTGGCCTGTGTCTTGGGAATTTGAGGACGAAAACCACAGCTCAGGGACTTTCCTTAGCATCATGCAAGCAAGCCAATCACAGAAGCTAAGACATCAATTAGCACAGCAACTCAAGACAATCACATCTTGGGTTTGAGCAGGTGTTAGACAACCGTATCCTGAGTTCAAGCAGTTGGTTAGTGGGGGTGAGAATCTACTTCAGAATCTTGGGTCACCAAGATCACCATATCCTGGGTTGAGTACATTTTGTGGGGTACAAAGTACAGAAAACAATATTAGAAAACAGCTTTCATTTCAGTTTCTCAGAAATAGCTCTTGTAACAGGTTTTTTTATAGAAGGCAGCAAAATGGAGTCTTAGGCCTGTCTATGACAGTTCTTGCTTTATAATTGTCTTATCTCACTTATCAAAATCTTATATCTATAATCTATATTTTTACTAATATATAACCTATAACTTACATTCTTATTAATTGTATTTATCAGTTCACACCACAACAAACTTATCGAGGCACTTAGCAACTCAGTGAAACCCCATCTCTAATAAAACATAAAAAAAGGGCTAGGGATGTAGCTCAGTGGTTGAGCATCCCAAAGTTCAATCCCCAATACCAACACCCCCCCCAAAAAAAAAAACCCTTAAGTTCATCTGTTACTCTTTCTCTTATACTTTATATCAAACCTATTAGGAAATCCTTTTGTCTCTACTTTCAAAATATATTCAGAAAATCTGACTGCTTTCCACTACCCTACTACCCACATGTCTCCTCATGTGGATTACTGAATAGCCTCCTGAGTAGTCTGCTCTTTCCAGTACTGCAATTAGAGCGAGTCTGCTAAAACACAAATCAGAAATGTTGTTTCCTAGGCTGGGGATGTAGCTCAGTGGTAGAGCCCATGCCTAACCTGTATGAGGCCCTGGGTTTGATCCCCAGTACTGGAGGGATGGGGGAGGAATATAAATGTCATTACAATCTTCAGTGACTTCCCACTTGGTTCAGAGTCAAAGGCAAAATCTTTACAGTGGCCTATAAGACCCTTTAGAATCTGCCCACCCATTCCATTATCTCTCTGATGTCATTCCACACCCACATTAGTCTCTTTGCTTTTCTTATTTTTAAAATTTTTTTATTTGTTCTTTTTTGATTATACATGACAGGAGAATGTATTTTTGACATACCATATTCTGCTTTTCTTAAAACAAATCATGCATACCCTCACCTCAGGGTCTTTGTACTCGCTACTTCCTCTACCTGGAATTCTTTTCCTCCACTTTCCCCATTATTAGCTCTCTTACTTCCTTTACTCAAATCCACTTTTTCAGTGAGACTTCACTTAAAAATCGCCTGAAATTGCAATCCCTCCCCATTCAACCATCACACTATCCATCTCCCCTGCTTAACATCATTTAAAGTACCATATGTTTTGGGGGGGGGTTGTTTGTTTCAGAGACAAGGTCTCACTATGTTGCCCAGGTTGGGCCTGAACTCCTGGGCTCAACCAATCTTCCTGTCTCAGCCTCCTGAGTAACTGAGATTACAGGCATATACCATAGCATCTAATGATAAGTTTTAGGAGTGTGTGTGTGTGTGTGTGTGTGTGTGTGTCAGAGAGAGAGAGAGAGAGAGAGATACTAGGAATTGAACTCAGGGGTACTCCACTACTGAGGTACATCCCCAGCCTTTTCAATTTTTTATTTTGAGACAGTATCTCCCTAAGTTGCCCAGGCTAGCCTTGAACATGTGATTCTCCCACCTCAACCTCTTATATATCCAATATATCCATAGATTGTCTTTGAGCTTATTCTAAGAAAGAAGAGTAGTGGGGTCCCAAGAGTGAGTCCCCAACCATTCCAGGTACCCAGCTGAGAACTGCATGTATATTTTTGTCTATGTCTGTGGATCTCCCATTTGTGTAGATGGGTCACCTGGAAACAAATGTGCTCTTGCAAAAAAACACCAAAATTTCATAGTGGACTAAAAATAAAATTACAAAATAAACCTTGTTGACAATAATCAATAGCATCTCATATCAGATTCTAGCATAGACAAGTAATAGAAGTCACCAGGAGGTTTAAGAAAGTGTATCCCGGGAGGACACAAAATGATTATGACCAAGGCCTGCCTGCCCTCAAGATTATCCCAGCCTGGTGGGATAGAAACTGACAACTGTGGGGCTGGGGTTGTGGCTCAGCAGTAGAGCGCTTGCCTAGCACGTAAAAGGCCCTGGGTTCGAGCTTTAGCACTACATAAAAATAAATAAATAAAATAAAGGTATTAAAAGAAAGAAAGAAAGAAACTGACAACTGTAAAAAATGTCTTCAATTAACAAAAACATGTAGAGGGTGCAAAAGCAGCAGAGAGGCAGGATTGTTTAAGTGAGACAGCAGAGGATGATATCTGAGCTGAAGTATGAATAGGAGAGGAGAGAAGGGCTGGAGAAAAGAGCAGAATCGAGGAACATTTTGCTATTAACATTAGCCACATTTAGTTGGAATGCCTGCCTATCTGGATTTTAACATCAAATAGGTTGGCCAAGCTTGCAAAACAACTAGTTATATGTAGCAGAGCTTGAGAAATCCTGGTTATTGGGACACAAAGGAAGAGCTAAGTGAAAGGTACAGATGGCAGGAAGGGAGAACAATGATTTCACAGGAGCAGAGCAGGGGAAAGGGATCTGTTTAATAGCTATATCTATCACAGGCTTGTGGGCTCCCACTAGAGATGGGGAAAAGGAGTAGGAAGACCAGGGGCACTTTACTTATGCCTTGACCCTTCCTGAAGCACCCCTTTTCCTGTTTTCCACCTCTTCTAACAATGTAGTCTTCTCCTGAAGAGCGAGGCCACCTTGGTGATGATACAGAAAGACCTCACACTCCAAAATCTGAATACCTGGTTTCAGGTCTTTTAAACTATATGAACTTTTACTTAATTTCAAACCTTTTGCTGGCCACTGCCTGGAGAGTGACTTGGCATTCAAGGCCCTTCTCCTCTGGCCCCTTATGACCTCTGCAGCCTCATCTGCCCCACACCCCTTCTCACCCCAAATAGCCAAGCCCTTCTCTCAGGCTCTGAGCCTTCAAAGACAATACTCCTCCAGCCCACATCTTTGCTTTCTGCCTTTCCAGACTCCAGAATTCCCGCTTCTCTGTCAAGGCATGATTCTTCTGTCACCACCTCTGGGCCTCAAATCCCTAGAGCTTCCTCTACGCCAGCATCTGGACCACATCTGCTCTTGCCCTTTCCGGTCCACTCACCACAAGGGAGCCAGAGGGGTCTTTCTACAGAAAAAAAAAAAAGAAAAAAGAAAGAAAGAAACAACCTTTATTTCTTGGGTCAAAGACCATGATCTTAACTGTGGCCTACCAGGCTCTGTGCAATATCACTCCTGCCTGCCACTCCCCATCCCCTGCTCCCCTTACATCCTTTGTTCTCTCTGCTCCAGTCAAACTCAAACCAGCCAACCTTGTTTGCAACATATTTCTCTCCCACTTAGGACCTTTGCATGTTCTTCCCTGCTTCACTTTAATTTCTACTCATTCATTAGAGTTCAGCTCAAACCTCCCTTCTCCTGTGAAGCCCTGCTTAGCTCCCAAGCTAGTTTTAGGTGGTACTTTTCATAATAGTAGTATGGAGCCAATTATGAATTATTTAATGTCTCGCTGCATAAGAAGTACCTAGAGCTTGGCACAAAACAGGTATTCAGGAAGTGTTTGTTGAGCGACTCCAGGAATGCTTAGCTCATAACACATTATACTAAATCTCCAGTTTACCTGACTTCTCTTACTTTAGCCTGTGAGTTCCTAGAGGAGTAACATAGGGTCAGCACCCAACCCTGTGCTTGGCCCTTTGTGAGTGCCATTGAGGTTTTCTGCACCTGGGAAACACTGCGTTGTGCTGCCCAGATCCCTGTCATTGAAGACTTCGGACACCAGCTGCTGGGAGTACTATTTACCATGAAGCCCTTAACTGTCAGTTCAGCCCCTCCAAGGTTAGTACTATCTTGGCTCCCAGTTTTGCCTCTTCCCAGCCAGTCCTATACTCAATGATGGATAAAGGCAAGGATATAAGGGCCTGTCTCTCTAAACTCATCCGCATACAATTGTGATGGGCCATTCTAACTTCAGAGTCCCTGTTGGGTGAGCCAAGACTGTCCTCAGGCCTGCATGGAGCTCTCCATGTCTCCCTCTGCCACTCCTTCCACAGGTGTTGATCCCAGGGGTGCTCCCTCCGAAAGCCTCTGCACTCTCCAATCTCCACCTCAGATCTGCTTCCTAGGAATCCAACCTGCAACAGGCTCTTGGTCTCCTCTCAGCTGTCACTTTCAGGGAACATTAGTTCATTTACCTAAAGTCTGTAGGCATCATTCAGTTGTGAAAGTATTTCACATCCACTCTTCTATTACAGTACAGCACTCCCATTCCACACTGACTATGTGGATCAGAAACGGAGGCTAGCTTTACCAAAAAAAGTAGAGAAACTAAATAGGAGGCCTGGAGGGATGGAGTGATCAGCACTAATGAGAAGTTAAGCTCTTGGACCCAGATTTTTTTGTCTCTTTTTCTTCCAAATCCTGGAACAAGAGGGAGGCTCACTAAAGCGAATTCTGGTCTCAGGGGTCAGAATCCTGAAACCACAGTTCGGGGATCGGGGCCGGCTGCTCCCTCAGAACAGCTAGGGAAACTGAGGTCCTGAGTTCCGCGCGCAGACGCCTGCAGAGAACGGGAAGGGGGCGCGTCCTGCCTCTCGGGCCGCCTCTTCCCGCCCCCCATCGCCGGGTCCCCCGCCTCGTCTTTGCCCTCCCAAAGCCGCCACCTCGGAAGCGAGTCATGGTGGCTGCCGTGGCGGCGGCGTGGCTGCTCCTGTGGGCCGCGGCCTGCGCGCAGCGGGAGCAGGACTTCTATGACTTCAAGGCGGTCAACATCCGGGGCAAGCTGGTGTCGCTGGAGAAGTACCGCGGCTCGGTGAGTGAGCCGGGGACGCGGGGCCTGGGCGCCGCCCTGGCAGGGCCTGATGGGGCGACCCACGACCTGCGCGAGGGGGGCGGGGGTGGCTCCGCTCCAGGGCGCCGGCTTCTCACCCCGACTCGGGCATTCCCCCGGCCCAGGCGCTGCGCCGCCTCCAGACCCTTCGCCCTCAGTGTCCCGCGACTACGTGGCACGGCCCTGGAGCGCACTGAAAGCCGGGTGCCGCCTGCTCACCCACTGCCTTTGGGCACCCGGGTCGCAACCTCCTTAGGAAGGTGGGTGCCCCGGCCCAGGCTTTATTTCTTGCGAGTGGAAAAAGTAACCCTAGCATCGTGCCGCCTTTGCCTCTCCCAACCCCAGTTTCTGCTTCCAGAGAGGGAGTTGCTGATGCAGAATCTAATGAGAACACTGTGAAGATGAACGTGCAGTGCAAAGGGCGTTATTTAAAATGCACGGATCCTTACGAGAACCCGGGGTCCAGAGAGGAAAGGCATTTGCACAAGGCTGCGCAGCACTAAAAATCGACCTAGCCTGGAAGGGAAACCCATCTACCCGCTCCATCTGTGTTAGGCTGTAGGCCGACCCAGAAGGCAGTTTAGGTTGAGATACTAATCCTGGGCGAATTCGCCTCTCTTTACTAAGAGGGAATCTTGGCTTAAAGATGACTTCAGAGAAAAAAATGTGTGTTGATTGAATCTTTGAAATAAGAGTGGATTTTAAACCGGGTGTGGTAGCACACACCTGTAATCCCAGCGACTCGGGGAGTCTGAGGCAAGAGGATCGAAAGTTTGAGTTCAGCCTCAGCAATTTAGCGAGGCCCTAAGCAACTTAGTGAGACCCTGCCTCAAACTTAAAAATCAAAAGGACTAGGGATGTAGCTCAGTAGTTAAGTGCCCCTGGGTTCAACTTCCGGTACTCCCCCCCCACAAAAAAAGTGGATTTTATCTAGACTGAGAAGAGCATTCCAAACAAAGAGAACTGCCCAAGTCAGAACTCCTTAGCAAACTGCAAGAAGGGTTGGGGAGGGGTGGGGAGGCTTTCAAGCAGTTGTGCCTGAATTTAAGTCAGAGGCTGAGAATGGTAAAAGAGGCAGTCTAAGGGGTCAAGTGGGCTTTGAAGACTATACCCAGAGGTGAAGACATTATACCGTGTTGAACAAGAACCCCTAAGTCTGCCTCAGGATGGGCCTGGGGGTCCTGGTGTGGAAAAATGGAAATTGGACTCTAATGAACATGTGGTCCCATCATTCATGTTTGGATGGAGAATAAGACTATTTTTAATAATAAAAGTACTCTATAAGCCTTGAAATTCTCAAGTATGCTGAAGGTCCTGGAGGCAGTAGCCCCTGTCTTGACTGCCCTACAAGGTGCTATTAAGTTTTAGATGCAATGAAAGTGTGGAAGCACTTTGTAAACTGTACAGTGCTCTGTACCTGTACTGGTGGATCTCAGCAGAAATCTCATCCAGGAGACAAGGCAAGAGCAGATAAGACCATTGCCCATTCCTGTTCAGGCCTCCCCATCTCTCCAGTACAGCTCACAGCTTCCTTGATTTGGCACCAGACCAGCTCTGCTACTAATTTATTCATTGTGTATTATTCAGCACCTACTAGGTACTAGGTAGTAGGCCAGCTTCTGGGGTTACTGGGCAAACAAAACAGGCAAGTTTCTGCTTCATTAGAGTTGATATGGGGAAGAAAGAGACTACAAACAAGGAACTGAGAAATGAACAAGATAATTTAAAATAGTAATAACGGCTGAGACCAAAATAGAGCCAGAGTTCATGGCTTCTAAGGCGTAGAGTTAGAAATTGAACCTAGGCAGCCCAATTTCAGAGTCCATGCCCTTAATTGCTAAATTTAGAGGGAAACCAGGGAACCATCAGTCCCGTAAAGCTGTAAAAGGTATTATGCATTATCCTCACATGTTGCTGTTTGAGCAATATGCTCATTCATTCATCTGCAAACATTTACTGGCTCCTACTGCATACCTGGCACCAAATCCAGCCCTGGTAGTGTCCATGAGCAAGAGTAACATGATTTATGCCCTCAGGCTAACTGCGCCACAGTTATTTAGACCAGTGTTGAGTATGGATGAGTGACTTCTTGGGAATGTGCTTGCTTCCTGTGTGGGATTATGTACCTGAAGGCCTAACTGTATATGTGTATGAATGGTTTATTTGTTTGCTTGCTTCTATGTATATATCTGAGTCTGTACTTGTGCTTATATATATACATATGTAAATTATCTGTGTATTTGGGTATGTTTGTCTGTGTTTTGGTCTCTGAAGATTTAGCTTTTTGGTTTCAGGTCATCAAACTAGAAACTGCCACTTCCAAAAGAGTAGCAGTCACACATGGTATGGGTTAAAAATAAGCAACCTGGGCTGGGTTTGTAGCTCAGTGGTAGAGCGCTTGCCTTGCATGCATGAGGCACTGGGTTCGATCCTCAGCACCATATAAAAATAAATAAATACAAATAAAGGTATTTTGTCCATCTACAGCTAAAAAAATATTTTTAAAAAAGCAACCTTTAATACCCTCATTATTTGGGGATCCATCAGGGAAGAATGTGGGAAACTCCTAACTGAGGAAGGGAGTTCAAGAGTTCCAGTTTCTCACCATCCCAGGTAGAGTATAACCCGTGTTGACCTCAAATGAGGGTTCATATAATTTATGGTCCCAGGGAATTGGTCCTTCCTCATTTGGTGGAAGCAAGGGAGAGGAGTTATTGCTCAGTGTTTCAGTCATTTAGACCAGTGGTTTCAACTGGGGGTGATTTTGCTTCCCACAAGAACATTTTGCATAGTAAGGAAATATTTTTGATGGTCAAGACTAGGCATCTAATAAGTGGAGGCCAGGGATATTATCAAACATTCTACAATGAACAGAACGCCCCTCCCACCCCACTACAAAGGATTATCTGGCCCACAATGCCAATAGTGCTGAGGTTGAGAACCCCTATCTAGCCTGAGCAATTTGTGCCTGTGCTTATCCAGTGCTCCAGACTGCCCCCTGGGAGGGGACCCGATTTATGGGGCTAGCTGGTATAATCCAGGCTCTTCTGAAAAAGCAGCCAGTGGGGATCCAACATGGCGGCGAGAGGGGAGGCAGCGCTTTCAGTACCTCCTCAACAACGGGGTCAGAGAGACGCATGGATACGCTTAGATTCGACCTGCTGAGAAACTCCTAGCAAAATTCCATTAAAGAGAGACCGGCCGGGAATCGGTAGGATTTTTGGAGGTGACAGTTTGCGCTAGACGAGTGAATCTCCGCCACGCAGCGCAGAGGTCCAGACCCGCCAGCCGCTGCCCGCGCGACTTGGCGACTGTCGGCTGCCTGCACCGGCCCCCGCATCAGGGCGGATAGCCTCCGAGGCGCAGCGCAGCAGGAGCGGTGCAGGGACTCTAGGAAGAGGTCTCTCGCCAAGCCTTCATGAAATAGCGAACCGGGAGCTGAAACCAACCAGAGACAGACCAGTCCCACCCCTCCCTTCGGACACTCCGGCAAGGAGCCTGGGGCCCGCCATAGCAGAAAGGTGACATCACCGAAGTTCCACCGACAGAATTCCTTCCCAGCGGAATCCACGTTAGCAGGTGTGTGACTCCCACCCCCTCCAGATACAAGCAGCCAGGAAACCTCAGGAATCTCTCCGGGGGCATGTCTGTAGGGAAGCAGAGGGGATTCCAGATCCCCACCTCCCCTTAACACCAGCGGTGACACCCAAGATCTTAGCCGCCAGTTTCTGGGGGCGTGCCCACCAAAGGGGTCCGGAAAAATTAAACTGTTGGTTCCCAGATCACCCCACCACAGCACTGGGGCTTAGATGAATGACAGAGAGGGTGTTCATCGTTCGGGATATAGGACACGCGGTGGGGCTGCAAGTGTAATCAGATCCTTGGGGAACCGCCTCTGGTGAACAGGACCTGGCTGGCTGGCTGGGAGGAGGAACAGGGGGAGGGGCCGGATAAGTGAAAGGGCTCTGGACTAACAGGATTGAGAGAATCCCAGGAGCCACCGTACAGGGATTTCTGTCAGCACATAGAGGGCAGAAGCTCGGCTCAGAGGGCACAGCTCCGCCTATTGGAAGAGAAGAAAATGGGATTCAGCCATAGAACAGGGGATGCCAGCATGGCAGAGATCTGATGTCATCGGAGAGCAGCCGAGGAGAGAACTTCATTGGTGCCAGCGGCGACGGAAACAGTCGGTCTCCTGGTAGGGAGGGTGAGTCACAGATACCCGAGTCTCTCACGCTTTGTCGTCGAGCCAGAGGGGAGGAGCGGGGCCACCGCCCGTGCCCGCAAGGTAGGCAGACCTGCGACCAACCTGCAGATCAGGCCCAGTGGTCTGCAGGCGTGGTAGGAGGGGCAGGGCAGAGCCTTCGCCCCCACCTGCAAGGTAGGCAGACCTGCGAAAGAACGGCGGATCAGGCCCAGGGGTCCGCGGGTGTGGTAGACACCTCACACCAATTGGAAGAGGGGCAGAGCAGAGCCCCCGCCCGCACCTGCAAGGGAGACTTTTCAACTATACAAGAGCAATATAAATATATAGGGGGGGAAAAATTTCAAAAACACAACAGTTTCACCAAGAAGAAAGAAACGCAAGCACTATGAAAAGACAAGGAAAGAAAGGACTACAAGCAATGCAGGTCAACTCAACTTTAGAAGAGGTAACAGCTGCAGCAGATGGAATGTCAGATAAAGAATTCAGGATATATATGCTTCAGATGATCTGGAGTATCAAGGAAGACATTAGACAGCAAAATCAGACAATGAAAGATCACTTCGACAAGGAATTACACAAACAAATCCAGGAAGCAAAGGATCAACTATACAGGGAGATACAGGTTATAAAAAACAAACAAACAGAAATCCTAGAAATGCAGGAAGCAATAAAACAACTTAAAAACTCAATTGAGAATACTACCAGCAGAGTAGAACACTTAGAAGATAGAACATCAGACAATGAAGACAAAGTATTTCAACTTGAAAAGAACATA